GCATTCGCTCGTGCATTTTGGTTGCATGGCATCAGTACGTCCAGCCGGGCTGTTCAGGCACTTCCCGCAGGAAACTTGTCTTTTGATTCTCCCACACGGGCATTCTAGCGTGACAATATTTTGACATGGCTCCGTTTCCGGGCATGCTGAAGGAGCGTGACAAGGTTTGGTACAGGGGTGGTGATCGGGTAGGCTAATGCCAGGTCAATATGAGGTAACGAAGCCAAGTTACACCACATACCAGAGCTTTCTATCCTTCCCACATACATTATCACACGGTCCACACTCGTCTCCATGACACATCCGTTGGCAGGCGTGGAAACCGCAAGCTAGTGGTTTGCCGCAAGGAGTACCGCAAGACACCCTAGGTTGAGAGCATCTTACATTAGGCAACGTCATTTTCCCACAAGCACAGGGTTTAGCCGCGAGGAAGGGACAAGGTGGACATCCTTCTGCTTCGTGACAAAGGTGATTGGTCTTTGGATGACCACAACTTGGATCAGGTCTGTCACAAGGGTAGTTGCATTGGATTTGAGTACCACAGGGAATGGGCGGCATCATGAGGGTTCTTCCACAAGCGCATTGCATCTAGAAGAAACTTAAATTAGTAAAAGAAATACTAGTGAATTTTAACTGACCTCGTCAAAGGAAGATTGCAAACAAGGAGGACAAAGACCTTTGTGATCTTTTCGCTCGCAGCTATTACGTTAAGTATGGGGTTGTTCGAGCAAAGGTGTAGACATACCGATGTAGACCACAATTGAGTAATTTACCGCAAGGCAAATCACACTCATGAAGAGGCATATCTTCCGCCGTTAGATCTATCCGGGTATGTTTGCCTTTACTCTTCGTCTTGATATGAGCAAGGGGGCAGCAAGGTCGATTACAAACGTGTTTGCCACAGTTTCGTAACGCCCGGCAAACTTTGTTACATAGGACCTCATCGGATTTGGATTGGCGCTGCCAGCAGGGTATCCTCTGGATGGTCTCTCCACATCGGCAAGGTAATGAGATCTCTACTTGACAAGGTGGACAATTCCCTGTGTGACCTAGAATGCAACAAATCAGCCCCTGAGAAACACAATGCAACATTAACATACAAAATGCGGTACATGGGTGGTCGCAATCTTGCAGGGACTTCTGACAAGGAGAGTCACAGCATGGTAATGGATCCGTACACGCTGTGCGAGTGACTCGCAGTTGTGCCAAGGTTTTCTTCCCACAAGAGCATGTAGTGATCACGTTGGGACTTCGTGGGCACTCGGTTTTGTTGGGTGAATGGGGGTGGCATGCCTATCATAGTCAATATATGCTAGAAGGGAGAATGGTTATCGATCTTACCTCCTCACAGCTATGTTTCCCACATCGGTACATCCTTTATTTGGCGTATCAGAGAGAATTGACCAGCAGAGAGCAATCGACCCACCTTTCACATGTTGCTTCACAGGAGAATCTTCCCTCCCATGTTTCTGTTCCATCAGCACATTCGACTACCCTGCCTTCACCACATCCCAGGACTCTATTTTCTCTTCCACAATAGCATTTGGATCGAGAGACTTCGTCGCATGGTAGACAATCATCCGGATGGCAGACTTGTTGACACCGGTGGTTACCGCAAGAGAGGGGTTTATTGCATATAGCGCCACAAGATAGTGGCGTTTCACCTGCTAGATTCATTCTATTGCATCTTATCGATAGAGACGTCTTGGTGCAGTAGCATGGTTTGACAATGATCGTCGAGCACGGGGGGCAAGGGCCAGGGTGACATGACAGAGGGCAAGGGTGATCACAGGTAGCCCTTTTCCGTTGACAAGACATACCACAGCTATGTGGTAATACCATGCGGCTAAGTTTCGGGTCTACTGTTGCACCACAGAAACATCTGAGAAATATGAGTACTACAGCTTTTTGCTTGCCTTATTGTCTGCATACCTGTATTGACCTGGTGGTATTGTTCTCTGAGTTTGACAACCAGGACATCTCCAATCACCTTCACGGTCCTCGTTGCGAGCTTGGTAAGCGGCTTTGGTTTCCTGAATATCTAGACAAGTTACCACATTAAAGGAACCATGATTATGAATAAAGAAAATAAAATCGTACTCTTTTTGCTCCAGGAAACTATGCACTTGTTATGAAATACGCCCCAGCAGCAGCGATTCGTTTCTTCGGAAACTGTGCACGCCCAGGTGGGTTGCTGAGGCAGAATGGGTGACCAACAGATGACACATTCAGCATATGGTGGTGCCTTCAGTGATGCGATCAGCCTTGCGGTGAGGTCAGGTACGTTGACACCATCTAATCGAGCCGAGGAACTCGATGGCTGTGGATCTGTCTCTTTTGGGACATTGTCCTGTTTCTTTTG